GAGTATGATCCAATACCTCGGCATCATGAGAATCAGTCGGGTCATTTCCCGATCGCAATCTAATTTGCAAAGCAAACTTGGGAAATTATCGTACCTACTCCCTTAGGTTGACGGTTCTCGCAACTAAGGGAGTGGGGGGCTAGACTCATAAGGTTGTAGAGCACGCTCCCTCAACCTGTAGAGCTCGAGCACTGAAGTGCTTTACGAGTAGATCGACCTTCCCGGTCTCGTAGATCGCTCCACGCGTAGATCGACCATCCCAGTCTCGTAGATCGCTTCACGCATAGATCGACCTTCCCGGTCTCATTGATCCCTTCACGAGCAGATCGATCATCCCGGTCTCGTAGATCGCTTCACGCGTAGATCCACCTTCCCGGTCTCGTTGATCGCTTCACGAGTAGATCGACCTTTCCGGTCTTGTAGATCGCTTCACGCGTAGATCGACCTTCCCGGTCTTGTAGATCGCTTCACGCGTAGATCGACCTTCCCGTTCTCGTAGATCGCTTTGCAAGTAGATCGACCTTCCTGGTCTCGTAGATCGCCATGCAAGTAGATTGACCTTCCCGGTCTCGGTTTCATTAGACCTTTGCATTTCCTAGCGCATCTCGCCCTCGTTAGACCATCGGGTCTCCCAAGTGTCCCTCCGCTTGGGACTTTCAATTCGTAAACCGTGCGCATCTCGCTATCATTAGACCTTCGGGTCTTCTAGTGTTAGATCGTTGAAAGTTCGATCCCTAAGTCATAAATTAGTCCAACCTTCCGGTTGCCGCTAGCAATCCGGTCGCTAGATCGGTAGAAATCCGGCCTCTTAAATCATGCTGTAAATCCAATCCCATGATTGGTAAAGTTTGATCTCCCGATCGCAATTAGTCCAACCTCTTGGTCGTACCCAGCAACCCGGTCGGTAGACCGGTAAAGTAGACCTCTAGATCGTAGCTTGCCCGATCTCTCGATCTTAGCTAGCTTCTCGGTCGCTCGATCGGTAAAGATTCGACTTCTCGAATCGTGTTGCAAAACCGACCCCTAGGTCGAGCAACTTCCTTTTTAGTCCACCAGACTACGTTTAGCGTTGTGCTCTTTTTTCCTTTAGCTAAAAATTTTTCCCACTGGGTTTTTTATTAGCTCAGAGGTTTTTAACAAGGCAACCGGCGTATGTCACGAGCCGTATGATCAGTTTTCCAGCCCGAACCCTTCCTCGCTAACTCGTCGTCACGGCACGGACTGGGGTGGGGGGGGGATTCATGATGGGGAATATACCCCGGGTTCAGGCTCCCCGTCCGCTCCGTGCTTCTATTTGGGTCGGGTCAAGGTCAACTGGTCAAGGTCAAACCCGACTTGGTTTGACCTATATAAAGGCATTTAACCCTTCATTTAGGGGCCCCTTCTTCCATTCTCCACTAGCTCTCTCTCTCTAAATTAATGCTCTCCCCCTTCCCTCTAGAAAGAGATTCAAGAACACATGAATAAAATACCACTTTGAGCTATATCTCTCTTGTTCATACCTATCACCTACGGTACATACATTCTACATACACACGAGAATTAACCGTATCAATAATAATAATAATAATAATAATAATAATAATAATAATAATAATAATAATAACAACAACAACAACAACAACAACAACAACAACAATAATAATAATAATAATAATAATAATAATTGTTTTTAAAAAATATAAAATATAATTCAGTCAATCATATTAACTACTTGGGGGATTTATTGACAAAAAGAGTATTCAAATCACACAACAAATTGAAGTGGGAAACTACCTTGCAATGTCCTTGTTTGGCAATCAGCAGTTAGCTCTTCAATATTAGTATATATTTAATATTTTATACCCTAATTTTTATTTGCTCTCCCTTATGTCACATATTTGGTTTCAACCATACCTATACAATTATTTTATTGACAATTATAATCAATCTTGACTATATTATCTTGCATTTGTAAACTTAGAATTACCTATTTCAATACGCAAATTCAACATTCAATTATCTATGCATGAACAATTCCAATATATTCTTGCCTTGATATACTTTAAAGTACTTCTTTAAAAAATAACATTGGGCATTATCTCAATCGCGCAATGCGCGTAGAAAACTAGTCTACTATACTAATAAGAGTCCAAGAGAGTTAGGCCTATAATGGGAAGAAAAAATGGCGGTCAAATTTTTTAATCAAATGAATGGCTCAGATTGATCAGATTTTAATTTTTCCTTAAGATTTACTAATTTATCCTTAATAATGAATATGATTATCCGTTAACTTTTCCGTTAAATATTATCTTTTCTGTTAATTTCTATTAGTTGACCGTTAACTTACTCATTGATTTTAATAAGAAAGGTCTTAGGTTCGAACCCCACCCCAATTAAAGTTGGCATAATTAGTACTCTATTTTACTCTTATTAAATTAAATAATAATTTAGTAACTACAACAAAAAATAATACATATGCATTTCTTTAATTTAGTAACTACAACAAAAAATAGTACATATGCATTTCTTTAATTTAGTAACTACAACAAAAAATAATACATATGCATTTCTTTAATTTAGAACAATGTCTTTATTCAAAAAAAAAATTATTCATTATCAATAAATTAAATAAGAGAAATAATTTCATTAGTTATATTGTCTTTATTTTTCTCGAATATAAAAATTCTTTACATTCAAACTCATCAATTGATTATATTCGCTACATTGTCCATACAATGTCTTTATTTTAAAAAAATTTATTTATAATCAATAAATTAATTAAGGGAAGTAATTTTATTAGTTATATTGTCTTTATTTTTATCCAAACTAAAAATTCTTTAGATTCAAATTCATCAATTGATTATATTCACTACATTGTCTATTATCTTTTTTGTGCACTATTTTTTTAATTAAATATCAAAGTTATAATACAAAATAATGCTATATATTTATTTACCAAGTATTTTATTAATACCATGAAAAAATAAAAAAAAATAATTAATAAAGCCAATCATAATAACTACTTGAGGGATTTGTTGACAAAGAGAGTATTCAAATCACACAACAAATTGAAGTGAGAACTATTTCACAATGTTCTTGTTTGACAATCAGCATTTAGCAGTTAGCGGTTAGCGTTAGCAAATTTGACAAGCGAATTATATCAACGGTTGGTAAAAAAATATTTTAAAAAAATTAGCTGTTTAGATTAACATGTAAAACGAACTAAGGACATACATATATTTAATAATAATAATAATAATAATAATAATAATAATAATAATAATAATAATAATAATAATAATAATAATAATAATTGTTTTAAAAAATACAAAAATAAAAAAATATAATTAAGCCAATCATATTAACTCTTGGGAGATTTATTGACAAAAAGAGTATTCAAATCACACAACAAATTGAAGTGGGAAACTAGCTACCTCACAATGTCCTTGTTTGGTAATCAGTAGTTAGCTCTTCAATATTAGTATATATTTAATTTTTTATGCCCTAATTTTTATTTGCTCTCCCTTATGTCCCGTATTTGGCTTCAACCATACCTATACAATTATTTTATTGACAATTATAATCAATCTTGATTATATTATCTTGCGTTTGTAAACTTAGATTTACCTATTTAAATACGCAAATTCAACATTCAATTATCTATGCATGAACAATATAATTCTAATTTAATTTTGCCTTGATATACTTTAAAGTACTTATTTAAAAAAAAAAATAAAAATTGGGCATTATCTCAATCGCGCAATGTGCGTTAAAAACTAGTATACTAATAAGAGCCCAAGAGAGTTAGGCCTATAATGGGTAAAAAAATGGCGGTCAAATTTTTTAATCAAATGAATGGCTCAGATTTTAATTTTTCCTTAAGATTTCCTAAATTATCCTTAATGAATATGATTATCAGTTAAATATTATCTTTTTTGTTAATTTCTGTTAGTCACGGTTAATTTACTCATTGATTTCAATAAGAAAAGTCTTAGGTCCGAACCCCATCCCAATCAAAGTTTCCATAATTAGTACTCTATTTTACTCTTATTAAATTAAATAATAATTTAGTGCTACAAAAAAAATACATATGCATTTCTTTAATTTAGAATTATGTGTCTACAATGTCTTTATTCAAAAAAAAAAATTAGTCATTATCAATAAATTAAAAACAGTCAAGATTGATTATAATACATAAAAACCACTAAGTTTTACCAAGTATTTTATTAATACAATGAAAAAAATTTTAAAAAATATAATTAATAAAGTCAATCATATTAACTACTTGAAGGATTTGTTGACAAAGAGAGTATTCAAATCACACAACAAATTGAAGTGAGAATTATCTCGCTTGTTTCACAATCAGCAGTTAGCGGTTAGCGTTAGCGAAGTATATTAGCAAATTTGACCAGCGAATTATATCAACGATTGGTAAAAAGATATTTGAAAAAATTAGTTGTTTAGATTAACATATAAAATGACCTAAGGGTATAATAAGGAATAAGGGTCAAATAGGCCATCGAACTGCACACAATAATGCAATTAGGCCACTGAACTTAAAAAAACAACAATTGGATCCCTAAACTAACCATTTTCATGCAATTAAACCAATTTACAGATTTTGCAAGTTAGTAACAGGTCATCCAAATTTTAAAATATTATATATTTTTAAATTATTATTTAAAAACAATAATTAAAAAAAAAAAGTTTAACCCGAGACGAGTTCCTTCGTCTCCGGGCCATGGAGCCGAAGAAAGATTCTTCGTCTCCATGGCCGGAGACGAAGAAACTCTTCGTCCCCGGCTAGAGACGAAGAGAACCAAAGACGAAGAGACTCTTCGTCTCCATGGCCGAAGACGAAGAGACTCTCCGTCTCCGGCCATGGAGACGAAGAGTTTCTTCGTCTCCGACCATGGAAACGAAGAGTTTCATGCATTATAGAATTTCTTTCAATATGAATTGCACTTTGCAGCCTGTTATGTTTCTACTTATGCAATGTGGTTCTTAATTGTTAACAGAATTTGGACATATCCAATGTGTCTGTGTTGTACAATGTTGATGAGCCAACTGCACGGAGCCTTAATGGATGCAGGTGATACGAACCCGTATCAAGCCGGCACCGCTTTGAGTGGGTGCAGACTCCAAAGATGGAATTAGGGGAGGGGAAAAATCAGAGAGAGAGAGGGAGAGATAGAGCGAGAGAGATTTCAGAGAAGGAAGATGAGAGTAGAGAAGAAAAAGATAATAATAATTCGCATGTCTTTCCCCCTAGCATGCAGGGTGATTATATACTAAGTTACTCCTATTATGCTTAGGACTATGATTCCTAATTAATATGATATAATAAAGTATTAGGACTAAACTAATGTATCCTATTACGAATAAACTTAGTCTAACAAATGTAATCAACCATCCATGCCGGTTTCCTTCGTTTTCTCCTTGGCCTAGTAGCATGGGTTGTTTCTTTTCTTTCTCCCAATTCTTGATTTTCACCTTCTTCTACTGTGGATATACTCGTATCACTCCCCTTCCCTTCGACGACCACCTTGTCCTCAAGGTGGAGATTCGGGTACCATCGTTCCATTTCCTCGGCAGCTTCCCAAGTGGCGTTTTCTGGACTACTATCTAACCATTGCACTAAGACTTGGCGTTGTATTTTTTAATTTTTTAGAACATTCTGTTCCCCACAGAGTGCTAGTAGAGCTGAAATTGGTGATCGGCCCACAATTTCTTCTGGTAATTGGACCTCTATATTTTCTTCAGTTCCTATGTGTTTCTTGAGTTGTGAGACATGGAATACTGAATGAATTCTTGCTTGTGGTAGTAGCTCGAGGCGGTATGCAACTTCCCATATTTTTTTCAAGATGTTGAATGGACCATAATAGCGTCGTGCTAGTTTGTTAGAGCTTCTACGTGCTACTGATATCTGTCTATATAGTTGTAGACGAAGCCAAACCTTATCTCCTACTGAAAATTTCATTTTGCTTTTTTTGGCATTGGCTTTTTGGGCCATGCGATGCTGAGCTTCCCGAAGATTGTGTTTCAGTGGCCTTATCAATCTGTCACGATCCAACAATAATTCATATAGTGCTTGCACTGTTGGTGTGTCTTTTGTATACGGTGCTAAGGTGGGTGGTGGTCTTGTATATAGTGCTTGAAATAGAGTCATTTTAATGCTGCTGTGGTAGCCTGTATTGGCGCAAAATTCTGCCCATCCCAAGTATGTCGTCCAATTGGTTGGTTTGATGTGAGTAAAAGCCCTTAAGTATTGCTCTAAGCCTCGATTCATTACTTCTGTCTGCCCGTCAGTCTGTGGATGGTATGATGTGCTTCTCTTCAGTGTTGTGCCACTTAGTGTGACCTTCAAAGTATGTAACTGTAGTTGCTCAGCAATTTTGGGTTGCACAAAGTTATGGGTGCTGCCACTATGTATTAGAATCTGTAACTTTCGGTCATTAACTTCTCCCAAAAGTTTAAGCGATCTGGGATTACCCGGGCCTGCCAATGAGTTTAGAATGGAAATATCTCCTGCGATTATGTCATCTTGCCCATGCACTATGGTTTCTTCTCCTAAGATTGGATCTTCTGTGGTTTGCTGTGTCAATTTTGACAATTTTCCTTGGGAATCCTCAAAACGAGACTCGCCGAACCGCTTTGTGACATTCTGTAAAAATTCCTTCCATGTAGTTAACATTCCATTCCTTTTCATCCATTGATACCACCCAGAAGCATTCCCTTCCATTGTGAATCCTGATATTCGCAATCGCTGTGTGTCTGGTGTATCATAAAAATCAAAATATTCTTGAATTCTAAATATCCAACCATGAGGGTCTGAGCCATCAAAGCGAGGTAACTCAAGTTTCATATGAAATCGTTGAGTCCCTTGGCCACTCTCCGGTTGCAAAGACGGTTGTAGATGATTATCAAGTGGAGGCCCTAAAATTCCATGTGTTTGAGGTTGCATTGCTGCATTTTTATTTGTTGTTACCATCGTTTCCAACCGTGACACGGAGGTAATGAGTTGTTGAATGAGTTGGCGATTTGTAACAGTTTGTCTTTCAAAATTTTCTTGAAATTCGGCAATTGCCTGCTCCCAAGGACGAGTTGTTGATGTAGATTGGTTGTCTGACATAATGAAGTAGGATTACAGTTTTGAGTGTGTAAAAGAACAAGAAAGATGAGTTCGATGCAATGAAAGCACCAATTGATACGAACCCGTATCAAGCCGGCACCGCTTTGAGTGGGTGCAGACTCCAAAGATGGAATTAGGGGAGGGGAAAAATCAGAGAGAGAGAGGGAGAGATAGAGTGAGAGAGATTTCAGAGAAGGAAGATGAGAATAGAGAAGAAAAAGATAATAATAATTCGCATGTCTTTCCCCCTAGCATGCAGGGTCATTATATACTAAGTTACTCCTATTATGCTTAGGACTATGATTCCTAATTAATATGATATAATAAAGTATTAGGACTAAACTAATGTATCCTATTACGAATAAACTTAGTCTAACAAATGTAATCAACCATCCATGCCGATTTCCTTCGTTTTCTCCTTGGCCTAGTAGCATGGGTTGTTTCTTTTCTTTCTCCCAATTCTTGATTTTCACCTTCTTCTACTGTGGATATACTCGTATCAGCAGGGTTGCTGATAAAATTCTCAAGCTTGTTCCAAATGTTGAGGTAATTTTCTATAAATATGAATGTTGAACCTGAAATGGGAAATAAAACAATGAGTAATTTTTTTAAAAAATGTCCATAGAACTAATCTCGAACTTCTGAACTCTAGAATTTCAGGACAACTCTACAATGTGTGAAGTTTTGGGCTAATAAACGTGGCATTTATTCAAATGTGAGTCTTTTTCATATTATCTTTTCCCCTGCTTTTATTTTGAGTATTGACATCATTCCTTTTGCCATTTTCTGTCTCTCGTTTTCTTAATACAAATTTACTTTTCTTGTTGGGTCTTGGGTGTTGGGTGCTTATGGTCATTCAGATGATTTGATTTCTTGGAGGTATAAATTGGGCTCTTCTTGTTGCTCGAGTGTGTCAACTGTATCCCAATGCATCTCCTAGTATGCTCGTTTCTCGGTTCTACCGGGTTTATACTCTGTGAAGATGGTCAAATCCCTTGATGCTTTGTGAAATAGAGGATTTTGAGCTTGGATTTTCAGTATGGGATCCTCGTAAAAACCATTGGAACAGAATACATCAGATAGCAATCATAACACCGGCGTATCCATGCATGAATTCTAGCTACAATGTCTCAGCAAGTACACTTCGGATTCTGACCGAGCAGTTTCCGGCCGAGCGGAGAAACATTTTTTTTTTTAAAATTTTAATTTATTATTTTTAAATAATAATTTTTTAAAAAGTATTTTAAATTTTTTGGGTGACCTGTTACTAACCTACAAAATCTGTAAATTAGACTAATTGAAAGAAATTTGTTAGTTTAGTGGCCTAATTGTTGTTTTTTAAAGTTCAGTGGCCTAATTGCATTATTGTGTGCAGTTCAATGGCCTATTTGACCCTTATTCCGTATAATAATAATAATAATAATAATAATAATAATAATAATAATAATAATAATAATAATAATAATAATAATAATAATAATAATTGTTTAAAAAATTTAAAAAATAAAAAAATATAATTAAGTCAATCATATTAACTACTTGGGGGATTTATTGATAAAAAGAGTATTCAAATCACACAACAAATTGAAGTGAGAAACTATCTCGCAATGTCTTTGTTTGGCAATAAGCAGTTAGCTCTTCATTATTAGTATATATTTAATATTTTATGCCCTAATTTTTATTTGCTCTCCCTTATGTCCTGTATTTGGTTTCAACCATACCTATACAATTATTTTATTGACAATTATAAACAATCTTGACTATATTATCTTTCATTTGTAAACTTAAAATTGCCTTTTTAAATACGCAAATCTAACATTCAATAATTATCTATGCATGTTTCAATATAATCTTGCCTTTGATATACTTTAAAGTACTTATTAAAAAAAAAACATTCGGCATTATCCGTAAGACATAGCATTTTCTTATTATTTTACAACTATTGACTCTATTAGATTATTGTAGTACTTTCTCAACCTGTTGAAGCAATAAAGAGTCAACATCGCCTCCACTGAGACACGATTTCATAACCTCCCATATGAAAGAGTCACTACATGCCATCTGAGCACAAGGTGCTTAACATTTTCTTATTATTTTATTAATTAAATAAATTCAAATTTAAAAAAATAAAAATATGTGCATTAAAATGAAAAATTAAAAAATTAAAAAAATCTTAAGATTTAAGAAGGGAGGTTGGGGGCAAATTATTGTGTTGACCACGGCTCAAAACGACGTCGTTTTGGTGTTAAACATTTTTTTAGTTAATAACAGTGTCTACTACAGTCATTTATTTGTTAGAATAATGAATTTTTCTAGGGATAATGTATTTTATGAGTTAGAATAATGTACTTTATGTGTTAGAATAATAAACATTCTGGTAGAGTTGTCGAAACGGACCGGCGGGACAGGACTCGCAAATTATGCTGTGGACTCGTGTCCACAATGCATTGTGGACACGAGTCCAAAACGACGTCGTTTTCAGGGAAAACGCGGCATTCCAGTTTTAAAAAAAAATTTTGATTTTGTCTCGTCGTTAACGCCGTTATTCGTTTGTGGCATTATGAATGTACAGTTATGGAATTATGAATGTACAGTTATGGAATTATGAATATAAGTTATGGAATTATGAACACAGAGCTCTGACATTATGAACTTACAATTATGAACATATAGGGATAAAATTATGAACATAGAGCTCTAAAATTATGAACATAGAGCTTCGAAAATTATTAATATACAGTTATTGAATTATGAATGTACAGTTACGGAATTATGAATGTACAGTTATGGAATTATGAATGTATAGTTATGGAATTATGAACACAGAGCTCTGACATTATTAACATATAGTAATAAAATTATGAAAATATGCTCCTATAACAAAGCGCTCTGAAATTTAATAAAAAAAAATGGTGGAAGATAACAGTGTCACCAACGGCACCGTTACTGTGTCCACAATGCATGCTGGACACGGGTCCATAGCATAACGATTGTCTAAGACCCGCCATATGGTGGGGCGGGCTAAAAAGCCCGTCAAAATACGAGCCTAAAATAGGTCGGCTAGCGAGCCTTGGCGGGGGCCCGCCAAATTTAAAAATTTTTTAAATTTAAATAAAAATTAATATGAAAAAGTTAATAAGTGTGTACTAAAATAACCTGCGTGCGGTTGTGCGGTTGGACGCACATTAAGCATTAAATTGACGCACGTTAAGTACACAACACACACACGTTAAGCACACAAACAAAACACTTTAAGAACACAAATCACGCACCTTAAGAACACAAATCACGCACCATAAACACATAACAAAGCACCTTAAAAACACAAACCACGCACCTAAGGTTTTAAAAATGGTTCACTTTAAGCTTCACACAACTGACGCACCTTAAACATACAAATCACGCACCTTAAGTATGAAAACAACGCACATTAAGAAGGAAACTCACGCACCTAAGTTTCAGCAACTACTCACATAAGTACAAACTCACGTACCTTAAATACAAAACTCGCGCACCTTAAGCACAAAACTCACGTACCTTAAGTTTAAACAAATACTACCATTAAGTACACAACTCAGTCACCTTAAACACAAAACTCACGCACCTTAATCACAAACCTTAATTTTGACCTAGATACAAAAATTACCAAATTGCCACCGTATTTTAGCTCTGTTTTAATCGCACTTGGGACTGCCCACCACACCTTATATATATAAAGGGCCAACCTACTGAAACACGAAGAACCAATAACGCCTCCATTGAGGTTCGAACTCACAACCTTCCAAATGGAAATCCAACCCAAATACCATTAGACCACATAGTCTTGGTGCCTTTTGTTAACACTATTTGTGTATTTTTTAGCGGCCGCACCGATTGCACGGAAAGACACGACCGCATTTGAGCAAACTTATATAGTATTAATACTTCCAAATAATGCGACCGCTCTTTACTCATTTCCTCTCTCGTCCCATCAACATAAATTTGAATATACTTGAAATAAAGTATACAAAATTACTCTTGAAAAAAGTGGAAGTGATGCAAAGATTTGATTTTTATAATTTGATGCAAAAAAGAGGAAAAATGACATTTGTTTGTTTTGTTGGGTATAAATACTTAATTTGTAGTCAAACACCTTATGTTCAGATGCACCTTTGTGACTCTTCTTGAGGAAAGGTCACAAGATCGAACTTCGGTGGTGGTGGAAAATTGATTCTTTGAATTGCGACAAATAGAAAAAGTATAGAACATATACTACATTCTAATAGAGTCAATTATAGTCTAACAAAAAAAATATTTAATTTGTAGACATTGTTCAGGGATCACCATGAGATTTGCTTTAAAGAGGACTGTAACGGTTCCCAACAAAGTTGAAAGCACATACTCCCAAGTCCTATATATGCTGTCACTTCTACCAAAAAATATATATGCTGTCACTGTAGTGTTCATCTGGGAGATCAAAACTTTGCGAAAAGTGGAGGAGAAGAAACAGATTTCTTCCTCCCTCCCTCCTTAAATAACTAAAAACTCAGCACACCTCACCCCGCCCTTCATTTTTCTTGATTCTGTATCCAATATAATCTCTCTCAGCAGTCAGCTCAATCAGGCTTCACTCTCTGCATTTAATTATTACTTCCCCACCACTACCAATAACAGGCCGGTGCACCCCTTGTCGACAATAGCCTGATGGGCCGCCCACCACCATCTTTTTTTATTTTTACAGCTCTGTTGTTCCAATTCATTTGCATGAGTTTTATTTTCTAATAATGCTGGATTCTTTTTTTTTTTTTATACAGATTGAATTTGGCAAAGCCTCACCCAAATTTAATCATCTTCTCTGATCTTATTGGGGGGTTTATGGGTTGCTGATGTACTTTAGAGGTGCTTTGTCCAATTTGTTTGTGTAAATCATAAATTTACAAGTAAATGAGATTTAACACATTTATTTATATATGTTTCTTTGAAAAATCCATTGGTCTGTATAAGACAGTGATGTATACAGGGGCGGAGTTAGGGTGGGGGCAGCTGCCCCCACTCACCCCACCCCCACCCCTAGCCCTTGTATATATATATATGTATATATATTACGTGTATTAGATATAAATATAAACAAACAGTTAAAATTAACAATAGAAGTGTTAGACGAGTTGGCAGATGCGTGTTTAGCCTTGTGAAAGGTAAGGGTTCGATTCCCATTGCTGCAATTTTGGAATTTCAACTGCTTTCCACAACCCATTATATAGCAGTTTTACAATCCATTTCAAAATATGAGAGAACGTAGAGGTGTATTATCCCGTACGTAGTTGATCATAAACCTTGTATTGTAATTTATAATGTATTTTGTATTTTAATAATATTGTATTTGAACTTTGTATTTAAACATTTTTGAATTTATTTTCTCTTTGTATTTTAATAATATTGTATTTGAACTTTGTATTTAAACATTTTTGAATTTATTTTCTCTTTGCTTCTTCGCCCCCACTGAAGAAAAATCCTGGCTCCACCACTGGATGTATATATATATTTCAAAATTTATTATTTTGGTTGTTGGTGATTCACTATTAATTGTATGCTTTGGTAATTTGGTTCATTTTAGTTGGTGACTTTATTTTGTATTTTATATATATATATATATATATATATATATATATATATATATATATATATATATATATATATATATATAGAATTAGGTTCTGGTGCGGTTAGGTTGCTCATGTGCGGTTGTGCGGTTTAATCTGGGCCATTCATCTCGCTTAAATCAACGTCCAGGATTACCAAATTTTTTTAAAAAAATGCAGTGGCAATTTTGTAATTTTTGTATTTAGGTCAAAATTAATGTGAGCTGTGATTAATGTGCGTGAGTTTTGTATATAATATGCGTGAGTCTTATGCATAAGGTGCGTGAGTTTTGTGCTTAATGTGCGTGGGGTTGTGCTTAATGTGAGTAGTTGGTAAAACTTAAAGTCTGGGCTTTTGTGTTTAAGGTGCGTGAGATTTTTTCTTAATGTGAGTGGAGTTTGTGCTT